GTTGGAGGGTTGCTAAGTGACAATTAGTTAACGTTCCGATATTAATTATTACTAGAAACGATCAACGAACCGATGGTTAATCGTTGATGGTTTCACAAGTAAGCAACTTCGGTTTATTAATGCACGGTCGTGGTTAATAAACTTAAGAGGGATCAATTTTGTTGGTTAAACCGAAACCGTTGTGTTGAGGTTATCAATCTCAATTGATTTCATCAAGGAGTTTAAGAGATTAAATGCTACTATTAAATCGGTATACGGCGTTGTTCTATATTTGATTAATAGTAAGGGTTATTAATGAACGGTCGTTGTTAATGACTACCCTCGATGAATTGGAGATACTCCTCGGTTGAGTATTCGAGAGGGGATAAGTTATAGATATAACAATGATCGTCTAAAATATATCAACAAGTGGAAAGTAGTAAGACCAAATCCTTTTTATTCTTGAATTAAATCTCTTATAAGTCGTTCATCTTCGTGCTTAATTAAATTAAAACACTCAACCCCAAAACCCCCTTTTATTTGTTTGTCTTATTAAAAAGATAATTATTCCTTTCCCTGTGGATACGAACTTTACTTCACTTATGCTACGTGTAAGTGTTAGTATCGATTTATTTTGACGCACCGTGACAAAGTGCTTGTCAAGTAGTGAAAGAACTCTTGTACATGAGTCTATAATACATAACAAATGTCGTAGACCACTTGTTTTAAACGATGTAAAATCAAGAAAATTGGCTAAACAAGATATATTTTGTGATGTCAAAGAATTCATCCTTCTAAAGAAGAAAATGAACATTTTGAAAATATTGGCATGAGTGAAAACATTAATAATAAAGAGACTTCAAAAGAGAACTTATGTACCTTTGAAAAGGTAAATATTCTAGACAAAGATTGAATTGAAACGTCAATAATTTTGAAATTTTAATCAATTACTCTGTATATTTCCAATGAATGCAATGGGACGTAAATGATATTGATGTAAATGATATACTCCATATATATGATATTTCATTTGCAACAGATATAACGGATGCACTAAAATCGACGATAATGAGACAAAATCTAATGATTAGTGTCGTCATAGATATGATTGACTAAAATTGAATAAAATAAAATTGTACAATTAAAAATGCTAGAAAATTGATGTTTTCGGACCTATAGCCGAAACGCCAAAAGGCGTAACATTTGTTGGTTTCAAATGTTTTTTTTTTTTTTGCGTTGAGAAAAATAAAATCTTTATTTAAATAACATTATAAATATAATGCACGTCCCATTCAAAGTGATTTTATATCTTATATGTACATGCTTAGTAGTGCAGCCTAATGAGCTCATTTATATACAAGCAGTCATTGACTCATTGTTAATGCCGAACTCACGTATCACTTAGATAGGATTAGGCCCCAAGAATTGTAAAACTTTACTGCCTCATCACCAAAGGCTTTGCACATAACAACTTGTATTACAAAAGCCAAGTTGATAACTGATGACATCAGGATCCACCAGTAATATGAGAAACATAGGTCGTTGCATGCAAATCTCAAGTTAATCAAAAAGAAAGAAAATGAAGTGTAAATGACACTGCGAGGAAAGGAAAATGTATAGTGATAAGTGGGACAAGATTTGTCAAACCACATAAATGACGTGTGAGTACAATGATAGGCAAATGTGTCACTAGAAAGGAGCAAACGAAACTATAATACAAACATGACCAACATTGAAGTAAAAGAAGCTAAACTACGAAATTAATATGTAAAGGAGTGTTGGGTGTGTGTTTGGAACTCATATTACAATTGAAAGTCGAACAAAATAGTATTAGAACTTTATTACAAGAAAGAGAATGCACAACGGCTCATCTGCCACTCTCGTGGTCGTAGGATTGGTCAATAACCGGTCTTGGGCACTCTCGTGGTCCGAAATCGCCTACCGACACTAACATAATAATTCAAAGTAAGAGCCCCTGGACCCTCCACTCTCACGGTCATGCTTGGGTGTGTGTGAAATGGGCAAATGAATATTCGATTCTCATCGCAATATTCCCAAAATAAATAAATAAAAGATTTTCCAAAATTGTTAAATTGGAAACAAATTTGAGAAAATAATAACTTTATTCACGCATGGTCATCATGAACGAGATGCCTGCTTATATACAATTGACATACAAAAAAAAAGGAGCTGCATACGCTACCCACTCGCAGCAAAATAAGGAAGATAATAATGACACAAATCCTATCCTTATATGGAACCTAAGCTAGTACGTACAAACTTTGTACAAGAAAATAAATGTTACATAATTTAATATACGATAATTTCCAACACCCCCCCTCAAGATGGAGCATGGGGATCACAAATGCCCATCTTGCCAAGTAGATACGAGAATTGTTGAGCTCCGAGGGCCTTAGTGAGCAAGTCCGCAGGTTGTTCAGTGGTGGGTGTGTATGAAGGAGTGATTGTACCAGCTTGAATATGATCACGAATAAAGTGACAATCGAGTTCTATATGCTTGGTGCGCTCATGATAAACCGGATTGGAAGCTATATGTAGAGCGTCTTGATTATCACAATGTAGCCGTACGGGTCCAGAAGAAGTTACACCCAATGACCGAAGTAGATTGCGTAACCAAATAAGCTCACAGGTCAACGAAGCCATAGCCCTGTATTCAGCCTCTGCGGAAGAACGAGATATTGTTGCTTGCTTTTTGGTACGCCAGGACACTGGAGAAAATCCGAGAGAGACAAAATAACCTGTAACAGAACGACGAGTGACCGGACAACTCGCCCAATCAGCATCACAATAACCGGTGAGGGAAAGAGAAGAGTCTGATCGCAATAAAATTCCTTGACCAGGTCTCCCTTTCAAGTATCGCAGGACACGTAGCACAGCTTCCCAGTGAGCTACTCTGGGCTGTTGCATAAATTGAGAAAGGATGTGAACTGAGTAACTAATGTCTGGCCTAGTCAAGGTCAGATAAATAAGCTTCCCAACAAGCCGACGATAACGTTCTGGGTCAGAATAATATGGTCCAGAATCGGACTGCAACCGATGATTCTAAACCATAGGAAAAGATACCGGCTTGGATCCTGAGAGCCCTGTTTCAGATAAAATATCAAGCACATATTTTCGCTGACATAGGAAGATGCCGGTGGGATTGCGAGCAACTTCAATTCCCAAAAAATATTTCATGACACCCAAATCTTTAATTGGGAAGGATGCATCAAGATATTTCTTAAAATGCTCAATCATAGTTCGGTCATTGCCGGTGATTTGTAAATCATCAACATAAATTAGTACACATAATATCCGACTATCCTTACGCATGGTGAACAAGGAATAGTCGGTGTGGGATTGAACAAATCCATATTCCCTCAAAGAGGCAGTAAGTTTGGAAAACCAGCACCGCGGAGCCTGTCTGAGCCCGTAAAGGGATCTAAGCAACCGACATACCTTGCCAGGAGAGGCAGTGGAATAGCCCGGCGGAGGGTGCATATAGACTTCTTCACGAAGATCCCCGTGTAGGAACGCATTATCCACGTCCATTTGGTGTAATTCCCAATGACAGGAGGCTGCTACCGCCAAAATGGTACAAACCGTGACCATTTTAGCAACCGGAGCGAAAGTCTCACTGTAGTCAATTCCCTGCACCTGCCTGTTCCCACAGACAACCAGCTGTGCCTTATAGCGTTCTACCGATCCATCACTCTTGTATTTTATCTTGTAAACCCATTTGCAAAAAATAGCCTTCTTCCCGGCCGGCAAATCCTGAACTCGCCATGTACCAGTGCGCTCCAAAGCATCAATTTCCCGGCTCATCGCTGCCCTCCACTGTGGGTCACAGACAGCTTCTCCAAAACTAGCAGGTTCCTTAGACATAGAAATAGCTGCAAGAAAAGCTCAGTGTGGAACCGAAAACTGGTTATATTTTATACAATGAGATATGGGATAAGGAGTACCTGAATCAACCGATGAAGTGGTGGTGCCTACGAGGGGAGAATTTATTTTAACTGTGTTCATCTGTACTTCGTAGTCCTGGTGCCATGCTGGAGCTGTACGTGGTCGTGTCCCACGTCTTGGCTGACCTTCGTCTAGTGCATGATGTGAGCCGTCCGGAGTGTGGGCCTCCAAGCTGGTGGCATGAGAGCCATCTGTCGCTACAGTCAAAGGAGGAGAGCTCTCTGCTGACTCAGCATGAGTTTCATTGATGTCTGGCACAACATTCCTCGTAGACGTGTTCATTCCATTGTAGGTGTCTAGTGAATCCTCATCATTACCCACATATAGTCCATTTTCCAGTGCATGTGAATTCACGTCAACATTTACGTGAGTATCCAAGGTGCTATTCTCCACTCGAAATGGAAAAGTATTTTCAATAAATTTAACATCTCGTGAAATAAAATGTCGTTGACCTTGGAGATCATACACTTTCCAACCCTTTTGGGAGTAAGCATACCCCAAAAATACACATCTAACCCCTCGTGGTGCAAACTTGTCTCCGGTCTTCTGTGTCTCACGTGCATAGCATAAACACCCAAAGACCCTAAGCTGACTATACAACGGTGGTTTGTTGTACAATAGTTCATAGGGACTTTTATTATCTATAACCGGCGATGGCAATCTGTTGATCAAATATCCTGCTGTCAAGACACACTCCCCCCAAAATTCTATAGGTAAGTTAGCGTGGAAGCGGATAGTTCTCGCAATTTCCAAAATATGCCTATGCTTCCGCTCTACCCGGCCATTTTGTTGAGGTGTGTACACACATGACGTTTGAAAAATTATTCCATTTGTCACAAAATATTCGTGGAGAGCAACAAACTCCTTACCATTATCGCTTCTAACAACTTTCACATCTTTGTTAAATTGGCGACTAGTCATAGCCAAAAATTGTTTCAGAATAGTTTTGACCTCACTTTTGTCCCGCATTAGATGCACCCAAACAGCTCTTGAAAAATCATCTACTATAGTAAAAAAATATTGTGCACCACATGAAGATTGAATACGATATGGACCCCAAATATCGCAATGTATTAATTCAAAAGGTTCAACATCACGAGTATAACTAATATCAAACTTGTCACGTGTTTGTTTGCCCCGCACACAAGCATCACACGTTTTATTCTGAACATTATGTAACAAAGTTTTATTCGAATAACCAAGCAAACGTAAAACTTGCACAGACGGGTGTCCTAACCGAGAATGTCACAATTCACTTGAGCCAGAATCTGTCACTGCGTGCACTAATCCACGATCCAGAGTCCGGAAATAATAAACTCCCCCTCGACGTTTACCCACTCCAATTGGCGTCCTCGTAAGTAGGTCCTGTATCACACATAAATCATTAGTAAAAAATATAGGGAAAACTGTCAAATAGGTCCCCGAACTTTCATAAAAAGGTCAATTAAGTCCTTCTATAGGAGGTTCTGTCCGGCCGTCGCGATTTGGGGCAGTTCCTGATGAAATTTTTTGATGAAAATTTTTAAGCATCTTATTCGTCAAGTCTAGTTTACTCATACCAAATTTGAACTAAAAATGTAATCGGGAGCGCATTCAAATTAATTCGAGAACGCAAAAATGCGCAGTTATCTTCAAGAATTAATTTGAATGTGTTCCCGATTGAATTTTTAGCAGAAATTTGGTATGAGTAAACTAGACTTGGTGAATAAGATGCTCAAAAAATTGCATTAAAAAATTCCATCAGGAACTGCCCCAAATCGCGACGGCCGGACAGAACCTCCTATAGAAGGACTTAATTGACCTTTTTATGAAAGTTCGAGGACCTATTTGACTGTTATCAATTAATTGTCCTAAGGAGATTAAATTGCACTGTAGCCCAGGCACGAGCAAGACATCCATCAGTGTGAGTGCCGAACTGATCAGAACATGTCCTACGTGAGTGGCTTGAGTTACAACTCCATTTGGTAATGCTACTGCCACTGGAGCTATCTTTGTTTTTCCTTTTAACATATTTAGATCTCCAGTCATGTGATAGGACGCTCCGGAGTCTAAAAGCCATTCGTCGGTAATTTTCATACCTGTCAATTTTTCTTTCGTAGGTGTGGTCTTACACTTTTCCATCAGCTTTAGGAAGGACTGCCATTGCTCATCCGTGAACCCGGGTTTGTGCATGTTGGTCTCTTTGTTCTCGTGCAACACTGGTCTAGCTTCACGGTATTCTCCCACGTGCATGGCGTGCGCCGTTCCACGTCCACTACAAATAGTCATACCAGGATGGTCTGAATTCGACAAATGGTAGGGAGATGACGGATCGTTAATTTTCTGCCTTTCGTAATGGCCATCTCCATCGTTGTTTGCTGCATCTCCGGCCATGTCGTTGTTGTTCGTGCGTGAATGGGAGGTCCCCAAATCACTGCTCTGATACCATGTTAAATTGGAAACAAATTTGAGAGAATAATAAGTTTATTCACGCATGGTCATCATGAACGAGATGCCGGCTTATATACAATTGACATACAACAAAAAAGGAGTTGCATACGCTACCCACTCGCAACAAAATAAGGAAGATAATAATGACACAAATCCTATCCTTATATTGAACCTAAGCTAGTACGTACAAACTTTGTACAAGAAAATAAATGTTACATAATTTAATATACGATAATGTCCAACAAAAATTGCATTAATTAATGTCATTGAGGCATTTCAGGCAATAAAATTCAATACTAATCACGCAACATTCCAATCAAATAAAAATAAGCTCCAAACTATTAAGATCTGTGTTCCATCCTAAAATGTCATCCCTGATAGGAGTAGCCAAAGTCTTATATAGTGTTTTATTGTTTTATAGCTTTCCGGTGTGAGATAGATACTTTAACACAAACAACCCACTAACCTAACTAACTACTCATGCATTGTAAATAAAATAAAAAAACATACAAATAAAAGTGCTTAAATAAAACTAAAGACTTAAACTTTGATTTAACTAAGTAGAAGATGTAGAAAAATATCATCACACTAAAATCTTAGAGGACAAATCTCTACAAATCTACACTAAAATCTAGATAGATAAATGGGGTGTTTGGTAAGAAAAATGGCGGTTTGACCACTTTCAGCGTTTTCAATAGGTGAAAAAACTGTGTGTTAAATAGTGATTCGGCACTAGAATTTTTAGACGAAAACGCTTAAATGAAAACGCTACTAACATGAGAGTTTTGAGTTGACGTTTTGAAAAATGGTGTTTTCTACTAATGTTATGGGCAAACAGCTAAATTACCAAACATCTTCTAACAACCCGCCAAATTTATTCCGCTAATCAAACCCGCCGATTGAATCCGCTATTGACAACCCACTAACATAATCCGCTATCCGCTAACCGATGAATGCCAAACACGCCCAAAATCTAAAAAACTCTAACTAAAAAGTAAAAACTATCTAAATGCAGTTGTTATACCGTGGGAGCAGCCCACAGTGAGCATGTTGCTCCCACAGGAAAAATCCGCATATTATTGTTCACATGTGAACAATACTTTTTTTTTCATTGTCCCAGTAGTAGAACGATGTAACTCGTGTGTACTTGTCTAAAACATTGATTTCAATGTAAACAATAAAAAAAGGAGTCTAAATACTTAATTACTTTATCTTAATAGTTAATATGTTTTGTTTTTAATATTAAGACCATAAAATGTTTTAAATCATTTTTTTTTGTAAAAAAATGATATAAAAAAGGATTTATTTTTTGGTTCAATAAAAGGGATTTATTTTGTGATGTAACTCGTGTTATGGAAAATGTAACTCGCGTTAGAAGGAAAATCTAATTTGGGTGTATGCAAAATGTACCTTGTTGAGCAAGCCTAAATGTAACCCACGCATAGAAAGAAGCAACTTACGCAAAAAAAAATGTAACTCGTGCATCAAAACATATAACTCCATATAGTATGAAATGTAACTATAGAAACTGTCTATACACATAACTCACACACATGAAAAATGTAATCTTATGTTTTTGTTCAAATTTAAATCGAAACAAACAAACTTAATGTCTTTGTAACACAAAAAACATGCTACAAAATATTTTAGTCTGAAAGTGTATGATTATAAAAAAAAAATTACAAAAAGGTGTATAAATGTGAAACGTGTTACTTTTAAAAAATATATTCATACACAAATATGATAAATTTTACATTCATTTCAATGTAAATAATGAAAAAGGAGTCTAATTATCCAATAATTTTACTTAAATTTTGTATATGTTTTGTTTTTAATATTAGGGCCATTAAAAGTGATCTTTATTTACAAAAATTATTTTTGTTTAAATAGCAAGAGTTTATTTTCTTGTGTAACTTGCATTGCATTGTTGTGTAAGTTGTATTATGACATATGTAAATCACGTGTAAGCAAGATGTACTTATTGAGAAAAGTTGAAATGTAAATCAGGTGTTACAAAATGTAACTTAGCCAAAGCGAAATGTAATTCTGGTGTATTTGAAATGTAACTCAAGCCTGATTTTTTTATTTATTGAAACGCTCAAAAGAGCCAATACTATTCCCTAAGAAGTCATAAAGCCAATCATCCAGCTATAGCATATTTGCCAGCAAATTGTTGCCATATTATTTTAAAGCATCGGAAATCTAATCGTTGTCCCAGGTGTAACTCTGTCTCAAAAACTCTAAAGCAGCAGTGTGCTCTCATGATGAGCCTCAAATTTTCATAGCAGCGACGGATAAACAAAATTGGTGCTCTCCTTGACCTCGCACATGGCTATGGCGGAGCAGTTGTAAGCAGTCGGGCATGACATCATTGGCGGCGTCAAAAGTACTCGATCTCCTCCTCCCCATGCACAGAGGGTTCATTGATCTGAGCCACGCAACGTCCCCATGGGCGGCGGCACACTCTTGGTGAGGCTGTCTCCTTGAAAGTAGTAGAAGCATCCGGTTTAGAAATGGTTGGGTTGAGAACTAGGCGAGAGAATCTTGATCTTCGTTGTTTCTTATAATTGGACTGACATTGTATGGGGATTAGTATACCATGCGCATGGTATACCCATCCCACGGTATAATTTGCGATGTAAATGGGTCAACTGTAATGGCTTTTTCCATTCTGATCAGCAAGACTCATATTTAAAGGGTAAAATTTTAACTTGATAAAAGACCACTAAGGGTAGATAGTATGAAAATGAATCGAAGGAGGTTGGGGGTATTTTAGTCAATGTTTCGTCCAAATCAGAGCAGTTGCGCCTCTTTCATCAATTAGGTCAGGGCAATGGGGACCGCTGCCCCTCCCAAAAAAAATCTTCTAGGTATATTTATCCCAAACATTTAATATGTGTGTGTGTGTGTGTGTGTGTGTGTATTTATATGTATTTTTGTACACTGCCGCCCCGCATGTCAAAAATTTCTGCGTCCGCCGTTGTCGAGCAGCAGTCCCAGGTGGTGCGCAGACGACAATGGAGGCTGGCAGTAGCTTCTATTCCGTTCGCCTTCTCTCTCGCTCGGTCGTCCGCTGCTGGGAAGGAATTGATGGCACCATCATGTTGATAGGGACGACGAGTCGGCGTGGTTTCTATCTTCGGAGGTTGCTCGGGATGCTCACACTTGAAAGGCAAATTATACCGTACGACCGGTATACCATGCACATGGTATACCGGTCCCAATACGGTGCCGTTTTGGGTTAGAAACGTATTAAAATTCTCCTGCGCACTCAATCGGTCTTTACTCGTGTTTGGTTCTCTGCTCTACCTTGCCTCTGTCCGCAGATCGCCGTCGAATCCCATCGCCGCCCTCCCTGAGTTTCAATCGGGTGGCAGTCTGGAGTCAAAAAGTCGTCGTTGCTGGTGTTCCTGGTCTCTTGAATCGTCGCTCTAATCATTCTGTTCGTAGATGTCCTGGTCTAGGTGTTTTGCCGAGATAGATGACGGTCTCTTTTTTTGTAGTCAGAGCTGCTGCCTGCTGTTGTTATAGATCCCACCATATTCACATATTTATATCTTTATAAATACGCATACAGAGAAGCAACGAATTGGAGAAAATTTTACATATGGAGTATTTGTATATATTTGTATATATAGATATAAATATTGGACAACTTACCTTTTGATTTGGATCAATTTACATTTTTATTAACGTAATTTACATTTCCATTGATGTCAAATTACATATTTATTAACTTGAGTTACATGTCAACTTTTCTGAGTAAGTTACATCATGTTTACACGTGATATACACCCAAGTTACATTCTGTATACACCCAAGTTACATTTGCCATCAACGCGAGTTACATTTGTAATAACACGAGTTACATTAAAAAATCAACACATGCTATTGAAACAAAAAAAAAAAAAAAAATTTTTATTCACGTTTAACCTAAAGCAATTGTGCAATTTGACTCTCTTTTTTCATTGTTTACATTGAATCAATATTTGACAAGTTACATTTTGGATGAGCTTGAGTTACATTGATCAATAATGCGAGTTACATATCTTGACACGCGAGTTACACCATCCGTGTTACTAGGACAAAAAAAAGTCAATGTACACGCGTGTACTGTTCACACGTGTATTGTTCACGCAATTTTTTTTTTTAAATTTCCCAAAACTACGTCGTTTTGGGAGTGGGAGCATGATGCTCATGGTAGAACGGTCGTATGGTATACGAACTGCACTTGAAAGGGATTTTTGATTGATTCTGGATGGTTGTTGACGGGATGGCTGACCAGTCAACTCAAATATTTGCCCGTGATAGACTTTATGGACTTCCTCTTTTTCGTCCTAATGTTCCTAAACTTTCACAAACCAATAGAACAATATCAACCTGATTAGTAAAATCTCTCAATTAAAATAAGACCGAGACGTAAACCAATTCAAACAAAATGACCCTAAAGCCAATCAAATACGTAGTATGAGATACAACAAGTGATCAATATATAGACAATTAAGCGTTATCAACTTCTCCACGCTAAGCTTGTGCTTGTCCTCAAGGGAGCTAAAACTCGAGTTACAAATTCAACGAGTTCCCAAGGCTATATTCAATTTAGACAAGAATGAATATGCGAATACAATGAATAGTGAATACCAGAAGACAAATTGCATAAACAAGATGAAGGTGACCATTGTTCAAATCCTATCCTAAGCAAAGATAAAAGTCGAGTGTAACGAGCAAACAATCAACCTTTTTTCACTTTTATCCTCATACGTGTAACACCCCGGCCCCACCGGACCCGAGGTAGTTACTCCGGACCAATAGTACTGTCCCCACAAACCACCACGAGCCTTTACCGCGCACTTTGTCCTCACTCATGCGCGCCCTGAGAAACTTCCCAGGGGGTCACCCATCCCAAGACTACTCCCGTGCAAGCACGCTTAACTTTGGAGTTCTTGGGTGATGAGCTCCCTTAAAAGGAGATGCACCTCTGTTGGAAG